GTTTGAGCCAGACATGCTAGCCTGCTACAAACGCAGACCTAGGTCTGAACTATGTCCCCTAAAAGCTGCAGGCTTAACTGAAAACAGCTTAACAAGTGTTCCTGTCTCCAACACCCAGGTACCCAGCTCCCAAACCCTGTATAAAGCTTATACAGGGTAAACTCATAAATTGTTTGCCCTCTATGACACTGATAGAGAGGTATGCACAGCTGTTTGTCTCCTCCCCCCCCCCCCCGGTATTAATACATACTCTGGGTTAATTAAGTAAAAAGTGATTTTATTAAATACAAAAAGTAGGATTTAATTGGTTCCAAGTAATAACAGACAGAACAAAGTGAATTACCAAGCAAAATAAAATAAAACACGCAAGTCTAAACCTAATACAGTAAGAAAACTGAATACAGATAAAATCTCACTCTCAGAGATGTTTCAATAAGCTTCTATCACAAACTGGATGCCTTCCTAGTCTGGGCACAATTCTTTCCCCTGGTACAGCCCTTCTTCCAGCTCAGGTGGTAGCTAGGGGATTTCTCATTACTGCAGCCCCCTTTGTTCTGTTCCACCCCCTTATATAGCTTTGTACAAGGTGGGAATCCTTTGTCCCTCTCTGGGTTCCCACCCCGCCTTCTAAATGGAAAAGCACCAGGTAAAGATGGATCACATGTCACTGTAAGACTCCAAGCCCTTATTCCTCTCAGCCTGACTCACAGGAAGGCCTGCAAGCAAACAGGGCCATCCACAGTCAATTGTCCTGGTTGATGGGAGCCATCAAGATTCCAAACCACCATTAATGGCCCACACTTTGCATAATTAAAATAGGCCCTCAGTTATATTTCATATTTCTAGTTTCAGATACAAGAGTGATACATTTATACAAATAGGATGACCACACTCAGTAGATTATAAGCTTTGTAACAATACCTTACAAGAGACCTTTTGCATGAAGCATATTCCAGTTACTTTATATTCACACTCATTAGCATATTTTCATAAAATCATATAAAGTGAAATGTCACAATGGGACTGTCCCTTTAAAAATGGGACATCTGGTCACCCTACCCTGCACTGTCTTGGAGCAGTGGTGTCTGCTGTCCGTGCACATGGTGCCTGGAGCCTGCTGTGCTAGTTGTGCCCTGTCCAAAGAGGTGCTGCAAGGGAAGTGAAGTGGGAGCATAGGAAGGTAGATGGTCAGTGGTCAGTCTCCTGAGGTCTGTATTTTTTTTTCAACGCCAGCTTCTTTTATTCAGGGCGGGGGGCGGACACGTTTGCAGCAACTCAGAAGAATAAACCCCTCAACACCTCCAGCCTCATCTACAGCCCTTGGCTGGACAGGCTCCAGCCCAAACACCCTGCAGGCATGCATAGCCTCCCTGAAGGGCAAAGCCCCACTCCGTCTAGGGGCCTGGCTCTCCCAAGGCAAGGATCATAGGGGACTGGAGGAGACGCTGCCCTACGGGGCTCCCCCTTCCATGTAGCTGCCCCTTGCCCCTTCCCGATTCAGAGCTCATCCTCTCTGCGTCGAGTAAAGGGGGCTGGGGCAACCCCTGCCCAGTGCAGGCAGATGCTGCCAAGAATGGGGTCTGGCCCCAGTCTCTGAGCCCATCCCCTGCTCCCCTCAGCAGCCAGGCATTCCCTGCTGATAGGAGTTGGGAAGGTCCCCTCCATGGGTCCAGAAACACCCAGCCACAGGCCTAGTAAGGGCCTCCTGCAGGTGCCTATGTAGCTAGGGTTACCATATGTCCGTTTTTTCCCGAACATGTCCGTTTTTTTGGTAATCAAACCCCCGTCCGGGGGGAATTGCCAAAAAGCTGAACATGTCCGTGAAAAATACCGGCCGGGCACTTCCTCCCGGGCTCCAGCTGCTGTGCTCCTCCCCTGACTCTTCAGCTCTGTTTAAGAGCCGAGCTGCCTGAGCGCTCTGGCTTCCGGCAGCCCCCTTGCCTCCGGACCCTGCGCCGCCGGCCAGGCACTTCCCCTCCCAGGCTCCAGCTGCTCTGCTCTGGCGGCGCAGGGTCCGGAGGCAAGGGGGCTGCCGGAAGCCAGAGCGCTCAGGCAGCTCGGCTCTTAAATAGAGCTGTAGAGTAAGGGGGGGCGCAGAGTGGCTGGTT